CGGCTCCTGTGCAGCATGGGAAACCTTTGTCCCCCACATCTTGTAAACGCGGCGGGGGACCACCATTGTGCCGCGCATCTTCTGAGCACCGCGGGAGGAGGCTTTTGTCCGGCGCAGTGGGCAGGCACCGTAGGAGGGCACCTTTGTCCCACACAGCCGGTAATCGCTCTGCAAGAGTGAATTATGGGGATTGCAGAGCTCCTTCCCTCCTCCGCCGGCACTGTGGTTTCAGACAGAGGAGTTCGTTGGCCTCGCTGGGCGAAGAGCTGCTTTCCCTGAGTGGAAGTGGGAAGGGGACGCGGCGAAAAACGCGTTTGCACACGTGCGTGCAAATGGCCAGCGGGATAGTTCGCCCGGTCACATTGCACGGACGCCCCTGCAGACATCTGTCCCAGTTTCAATCTTGGCTTTTCCCCTTCTCCCATTTAGGCTGCCCTTTTCATTATTATTATTATTATTTCTCTGTCCCTTCTTATGTTTGCATTATCTGCTGTTCAATATATTGTTTGCTAATTAATCTAATTAAGTAATAAGACCTCTCATTATTCTTTCCAATCAGTAATAACCATGCTTAAAAGACTTGAGCCCTAATAAAAAATCCCTCTGGGACTTCATAGGTACATTTTCAACCCCATATCGTTACTTATTATTTGTCGTCCTAAGCACTCTAGCCACTTCCCAAGAAGTGCACCAGCGCCCATTTCCAAATCAGCCTGAGATACCATACGTCGTCTCACAGATGCAGAGTTACGCCTTCCTTCAGCTGAAATGTAGTGAACATGGTGAACTGTGATGGGGTTCCAGACTTGCAGTAGTAATTGCAGAGAGCAGAGTCCCAAACTGTGACCCAGCAAGGAACAGTGATGAGATGAGTTGAGATGAGATGCTGAGTCGGGACCCAGCCTGCAGAGATGCCGTGGGTGCTGGTGGACGTGCTGCTTGTGGCTAGAGCTGGCACGGGCACGGCACAGCACGGTTGGGAGCTGCGTTACCATAAATCTCAAGTATTGTAGGGTCTCCTTGGCTGGAGTAAAGCGACTCATTTGCAAACGAGAGGTAGGGGCAACCACCTTCCATTAGACTGGTGAAGGTCATAATCCGTTGTAAGTGAGTCCCCAAGGTTCCCACTGCCCCCAAGTTGCTCGGTTCACCTATGCAGAAAGACATGGCAATGGATAAATCTCTCACTTGCTGATTTTTGTGATTCAATAAAGTGGTCAAGTTTGGTTTTTATCTGTTGTTGTCAAATCTGAGGCTGTTCTGTTCTAAGGCTCCTGTTGCCGTAAAGGTGCTTGCGATTTTTTTTAATGTTGATCTCTTACTTTACTAATATTCAAAGGTAAATTTTACATGTGGTAGTTTCAATTAATCCTCCTTTTCTCAAATTAGCATTGTTTTTCTTTCCACCCCCACCCCAGTCCTCTGGAACCTACCTGATTGTGCATGAATTCTGAGAAATAATTGCCAGTAGTTCAGCAAGTTCATTAACTGATTCCCTGAAGACCCTCAGATGCGTGTCATCCAGACCCGAAGATTTGTATATTAAATTTTTGCAAGTATTCCCTTACATGATTTTTTTGTATCAACAACTGTATTGGCAAGTCTTCATTGTTTCTGTCAGTATCTTTTTCTGGCAGTGGGTAAATTGATTCTGAGTCTTGTTCACTGTTTTACAGTCATAACTTGTTTCACCTCACGCCTTATTGGATCCACCTTCTCTTTGGTGCTTCTTTCCAATGATGTTCTTTACATGTTTAAAATATACATCCAGTTCTCCTTACCTCCTTCCGTGCAAGCAACTGGGAGGTCACTCTGCTGTTATGGCATTTCTCTCATTTCTGTTTGTAGGGCTGGGAGCAGGGGGATTGATTTTTTTTTTTTTTCCTCCTGTGACTGTAGCCTTAGCATATTTTAGGATGTTCTAGCTGTCTCCCACACCTAACGGTTTTTATATGTCTTTTCATTGCAACATGCTCCTAGGAGTTCTTAAAGAATTAATGTCTGAAATTAGCGTATGTTGTGCAACAACCCATCACTTAATATGGTATATTGAATCGTGCAGTTTATCATCACGGCCATTGAAATTAGTGAGCGCTAAGGGTATATATACCTTAGAGGACCTTGGCTTTAGTACAACTGCTTCTTATTATCCGACTCTCACAAACGATTCTTTCTATCGAAAAATAGATGGCTGCTCATGCATTTAATTTAGATTTGTCTGCTACTAAATACACGACTGAGATTGCAGTCGTCAATGATATTTTTCTTCTGGTGAAAACCTTATGGCCAAATCTGTCATCACCCTTAGGACATAACTCCTCTTGCTTCTGTCTAATTTTCCGAGCCTCTGGTATATAAATCATAAATGCACAGTGTGTGCACTGTTAAATTTTTAGGGCTCTCCCTTTAGTAGTAGTTGAATGTGAATACATAAGGACAAAATTTGACCTTTAAATGACTATAAAGGGCCAAGGCAGATACTTGGCAAGCTTTTCTTATTGCAATATTAATCAAGCAAAGAATCATCATAATCCTGGAAACTAAATAGCCATTGTAGTGATTTTATCACCAGGGAAATTGTTCATCTGTCAGTAAGATTGTTACTAGGAAAGAGAAAATAGGGAGTGTTAAAATTGCTTTAGACCGCTGAATCATTGAGTCCCTCTAGACTCAAAGCTTGAATTGTTTTTTGAGAGGGGTGGGTTGAGAGGGGTTGCTACAGGAAAGCTGTAGGTTAATCAGTTTCAGTAACACCAGTGAATGTAAGCCTGATCTCTCTTGAGGACATGAGGAGAGTGCATGGGAGAAGGCAGGACGGAGAAAGGGACAGGGAGGCTTCAGAAACTTATTGTTTTGTCATTTTTTGTTTCTGGATGGCCCTTTCACAGAGGAGGAAGGTTGTTGATAAAAAGAAAAAGAAAGAAGCAGAGGGGGGGGAACAGCATAATGTTCACTGCCTGCATTTTCCTCTAATTTAATCCAGTGGATATTAATGAGGATGAATACGATCGAGACAGACGGAGACGGGTGCAGGCAGGCAGGAGCAACAGAGACGTGTTTGTGTGGGAAGCATCCGCGTAGGGCCCAGAAAGCCATATGGGAAGATGTTTTGCCTCTTGGGGCTCAACATGATGTTACCATGCGCTGCGACACAGGTGTGCGAGGAGATCTACCTGTGCAGGAGTGTCCTTGAGGTGTGCTAGGACAGCCTGTCCCTCCATAAAACCAGCTTGGGTAGATGACGTCTTTGCTGACGTCATTGCATGGTGGCAACGGGCAGTCATAGCGTACCTGACCATGCCGTAACCCAAGGGACAGGTCTGTTAGGCTGCGGGTTGTGCTGGAAGAGGAGCTTTATCCTTTCCGCGGTGGTGGGACACTGCATACGGGATGACCCCGAGGTGACGAACAAGCGTTGGCGAGTATGGCTGTGGGGTGGCTCTCGTAGGGGATGGGCCAGATGATCTGCGTGGAAAGCCACCTGCAAGTTACGATGGGCTGCCTCCTGGCAAAGAGGGTCTGCACAAGGATGGGTGCATTTGGAGGTGGAAGGTATTTGTATAAAAGGTGCCTCTGGGAAATTCGTGTAAGATCTCATGAATCGTCTCCATGCAACGAACGCGGGGCGGGGGGGGGCGGAAATCCGCGTGTGCGCGTGACGTGGATCCTCACCGCATGAAAACGCCTCTTTGTGTGGGAAGTGGCGTCTTTTCTGTCGAGGTATTTTTCGAGGGAGCTCGCCTGATGGCTGCCGGTGAGGGAGCGGGGGAGGGCAACGTGATGGGTAGCGCCTCCATCAAAGACCTTCTGGAGGGGACGGCACGCATGGAGCCACCAAGGGTGGGCACACGGGGGGGTGAGGGTCCCGGCAGGGGCGTGAAGCTGGGTGTGCGGGTGATGCCGTGCAGAAGCATCCCTTCAGGGCGGCCACCCCGCATCCCCCCGGGGGACCATCGGCCGCCCCCCAGAGCATCCCTCTCCGCTGGGCAGGCCACGGCCACCGTGTCCTTCATTGTTGTCACCCCCAGATTGTGATACTGTCACAAAACTGTTGCTAGGCAACAAATGTGGTTACCGGGTCTCAGCGAATAGCTGAAGGGGAAAGTGAAGTGTTGCACCATTGTAGAGTAACCATAGCAATGACCTACTATTACAGACTAAAGAATTATCATTAACAATGTTAAAGTATCAAACGGAGGCCCAGGATCCAGAGACTTCCAGGCAGCATCTCTGCATAATTGGGTTACCCAGGAAGAGGTCCCAACTCTTTCGCAGCCCTTGGATCCCTATCTCCATCGTCTTGGTTTCGTTTTGGGGGTTGTTGTGGGGGTTTCTGTTTAAATAAAGCGAATGTGCTGGGCGTTGAAGGAGGCACTTGTAAAATAATAGGAGCACCCACCAAAAAAAATAAAAATAAATAAATAGAGGTCAATCTGTATGCAGAAGGAAGAGGTAAGCAGGAAAGGTCCACTTTAGTGCCTCAATGTCATGTACGGGCTTGTTGGAAAGGGTGCACGAAGGATGCCTTCGTGATGCACCGGTTGTTGTTCAGGTTGGGTGTTCGCTTTCAGTTAAAAATGCATATGCCGGGCTAAAAGCAATGTAAAATGAAAAAGAAATAGTACCAAGTACACCAACCTTGAAGAGTAGACACTTCTTCACCCAAGTTAGGCGGAACAAGTGAGGTGCTTTAACGAAGCTTTACTTAGCAGGGTGCTTTGGAGTCTCACTTTCCCAGGCCCGAGACGCGTTCAGGATCTCTAATCTATGTGGCCACGCATGTGCGTGCATGTGTGCGTGTCTCTGTGTGTTGCATCTACCTGTGTGCACGGTTGTTCCTGCCCAGCTGCCCCCAAGCTCTGACCAACCCCCCCCCCAACCCGGGCTACCCCCAGACCAGCTGCCAGCAGCTGGATGGCCTCTCTGGGTTTTGCATCTAGACCAGGGGTCAGCAAGAGCAAAACAACCCCCAGTCACACTGTCACCGTTGTATTTTGCAGGTACAGAGCGCCATGAACTAACTTCCTGGAAGAGTTTTCCATCAATTTTCAAGTTCTTCAGTGAAGCAGTGGAGGCAAAGAACAGCGCAGTGAAACCAACCCCAACGCGACGCTCCAACAGGATAAAATACGAAGAATTGTAAAAGGAGGGGAGGAAAAAAAAAAAGCCGCCGCCACCACCGACCTCTTCGCTGCTTGTTTTCTGCAAGGAGTCTCCCAGCCCCTCATTAGATTGTTTTCTTCCTAGAGCACAGGGTCGTGATGTATACATCTAAATAGCGTTTTGCATTATTTCTAGATGAGTGCAACTGTCAAAGCAATATGGGTTCACTGGTTGTGCTTCCTGTGGGCTGTAACTTGGATTTCGTGCTGCCCATCAGCGCGCAGATTAAGGCTGACAGTGGTACTGCACAGTGCAGCATGGTGCAGCTCTAATTGCCCTGACATAGCCCTGCAACAAGCTGATGCCAGAATTTAACAGCTACGTTGTGGTCCTGTCGCCTGCAGGATTTTTTGCTTCTTCCTTCTATTTTGAGACAGAAAAAAATCAGAATTACTCTTTTTTACAAGACAGCTCTAACTCAGAAGTGCTAACCAGCCTGTGATTTTACACCCAGTAGCCTTCTCTTTCTCTGGGACCAAGTGGGATCAAGTCTTGACTCTTTCATTTTCTGCTGGTAGGAGGGTCCAAGAAGTTTGGTCCAGATTTGTAGGAAAGCCCTTTTGTTGTCGAGATTTTCTCCTCCTGCCAGATCAATGGCATTATCTGTAGATCTTCTTTTCCTTCCGAAAGCTCCACTTAAAAAAATGCCTATTCATTAACCGGCTGGATCACACTGTGAAATATGACAGCAAAAAAAAAAAAAAGCCAGAGACACATTGAACATTTTCCTGTTTATTTTTAAATGCAAAGATGCTTCCATTTTCATATGCTGGGTTTGTAATGACTTTGCCATCCGGTGGTTATTCCCTTTTTCCCTAAGCCCATGGGTTCATCCCTGCTTTCCCAGGCGCTGGGGGGGGGGGGGGGGGGGGGGAGGGGACACGGTGGTGGCCGGTGTGGCTGCTTTGCGTGGGGACTCCACGCCACACGTGGGGCAGTGAGTGGGGGGGGATGTGGCTGTAGCCACCACCATCGCTGACGGCAGCTTTTCTCCACTAAAGTCTGTCTGATAAGCGACAAGACGTGCCTGATAGCGTGCGCGGCGAGCGAGCGCGCTAATTAAGCTCTGTTAGTGTTGATGATGCTAAATTAAAGTGATCTTTTCTCCAATGGCCGTGCCCGCCTCGCCTCTGATGCTGTTAGTGTCGAGGAGGCAACACTCAAACGCATGGCTCTGGGACCCCCATCCCACTGCCCCCCCCCTCCCGTAATGTTTCCTATCCCACAACTGGGGGCTAGGAATGGCGGGGGCAGGGGGGGAGAGCGTTTAACCTGAGTGGGGGTACCCCTCTCTGCTGCAGAGGAAAGGGAGCGGTGCTCATGGGGGTGGGGGGGGGCTGCAAAGGGAAACCCAGCCAGGTTTGGGTCGAAATCCTCTGGCTGGGGCTGGGGGGGGGCTCTCCACACCTGCAGAACGCTGGGATCCCTGTCTGCTCTTATAGGCAGCAGGGTCGTGTGTGTCCCCCCCCACTCCAGCCACTTCGTGGCATTTAACCTCTTCCCTTTCCAAGCATTGCCCCCCTCCGGGCAGGGATTGGGGGGCCGGAGGGGGGGGTGTTATGTCGTGCCTGTGTGGAGAGCAGCTCAAAATTCGCACCCGATGGTTTTTCTTCCCCGAGGTAACCTGTGGCTGGGGGGGGGAGGTCTGCGACTGTCTCCCCTCCCATCGGAGGATGCTGCTGCCTGCGGCCGGCCTGACACACTCCCCCCCCCAGGCCTCTGTTCACCCCAGCCCCTGTGTGTTTGCGGGGGAAAGGCGTTTATATCGCGTGTTTGGGTGTTCGTGCTTTTCCCGACACCAAGAGAGGAGGAGGAGGAGGAGGCCGGGGGAGGTTTGCCCCCCCACCCCCACCCCGCATTCCACGCCGGGGAGACGAGATGGGGTCTCCGGGGTGCCAAATGTCGCGGGAGAGGATCTATTTTTTTAAAGTGTCGACGAGAAACGAAATGTACAAAAAATTTTACTGTAACGATGACTGCCCTTTTCTTAAGGCTTTTTTCTTTACTGTGCCCCCGGCCCGGCTCGCGTTACTGCTTCTGTAGGGGGGCTGTAAAGCACAGGGGGGTCCTTGCACTGAACAAAAAATAAAGATGCTCTTTTTTCTCTCCTTCTTGCGCGCTTTGTGTCCCCGCGCCGAGCTCCGCGGGAGCCGCGGTCCCTGGTGGGGGCTGCAGGGGCAGCAGCTCCCCCCAGCCTGGGAAAACACG